TGTGGCTCACAACCAAATCAACAGGGCAGGAGAGAAAGCAAGCACAGATCCTGTGCTGGTAAAATACAGAACCCTTGACTCCCAGCTGGTCTCAGCTTGCTTCCCTACTCGTGCTTATAGCAGCTACTATTCACTGACGGCTTGCCATGCCAAGCATGTGCTCAACTACACACACCGTTTTATTTCATTGCTATAACTCTTTGAGGCACACACTGCCACTCATGTGTTCACAAAAGACAATGAAGCTGAGACAAGGAAAGCTGCACTACAAGGTCAGCAGCTGGCAAGGGGTGAAACGGAGGCCATCCAGTTCCACAGCCTGCTGCTAAGCACTTGGCTTGCAAGGGTTCCCATGAGAGGCAGGCTGCTAGCCTAGGCCTGGACCCAGGGTTCATGCTGACAGGCTGGACCGGATTCTCTACCTCCATCTTCGCCTTGATGGGCATGAGGCTCTCTGCACACTCTCCGTGCCGGGCATCACACCAGAGACTGCGCCCACCCTGCCTTGGTGTTCCTGGCACCACACCCAGCACACAGTGGGAACATACCAAAAGTGGGTGGAAGAAAGAAAGGTCAAGGCTGTATGTGAGATGCTGGGTAACCTCTTATTTCTTGGTGTCACTGAGGTTTTTGAAAATGTGCAGGTGGACAAACAACACATGGAAAAGAAATCACTTTTCCAGCGTGTACTTGCCCTTGAGCACGCTCAGACTCTGGCCTTCACCCTGGACTTTTCCTCCCCATCCACTTCCCCACCCTTATGCTCTTCCCCTCCCCTCTTGGATGCATGCTCAGTTCTCACCAGGTGGTCGCTGAGCACTACCGCCCCTCCACCCACTCACCCTGCTCATTTCCGGTAGCTCTCAGCAGCTTCCAGCATAGTGTACACAATTCACTTATTTGCTGTGTTTTCACACATCTACTGTCTACCTCCCCCATCAAAACATAAGCTCTGCTATGGCCAGGACCTTTTTGTTTCAATGGGAGGCCATGTAAACATCTGTTGAATGACTCTCCAAACACTTCCCATTGGGATGTGGGCCCAGAGAAGCGACCTGACAAGTCACTATGTATGTATAGATTTCATTTCCACTCAACAATAACCAGAAGAGACAGGTTTGACGTCTCTAGGTCCTCTCACCACGGGGATTACCCAGGGACACTCGCTCAGGCCCAGCTGATCTCTCTGTCCCTCTACTCACGCAAGGCATGCCTTGCTCTCCCTCCAGAACGTCACAGCTTCAGTGAACGTGGGTCCCAATTATGGAAGCTCCTGGAGCCGCAGGAGGCACGAGGCCCTCAGAGCTGCGTCCCAACCTCAGAGTGTCATTTCTGCTCTGAGCTTCAGTCCCTCACCTATGAAATGAGGACTTTGGGACCAAGGATCTCATCCAGCCTTTCCTAGTTCTGACACTCTCCCTCTGGGAAGGAGAGAGTGTGTGACAATGAACCCATGACCCTCGGACACCGAACACATAGTCTCTTGGAGGGGAAGTGATCATAACAAATGTAACGAATAAGTAAACAGGGATTCAGAGCATCAAAAGAAATTTGGCAGGAAGACGCCATCTTGTTTTCATAAAACAAGAAAGGCAGTTATTATCTTCTCTGTTTCACAGATGAGAAAGCTCAGCTCAGAAAGGCTGAGCAGGGCCTGATGTGGTGGCTCAACCGACTAATCCTCCCTCTGCAAGCACCAGCATCCCATAGAGGTGCTGGTTCCTGTCCTGGCTGCTCCTTGTGGCTTAGGGAAGCAGTGGAGGATGGCCCGGGACCCTGCACTTTCATGGGAAACCCAGAAGAAGCTCCCAGCTCCTGGCTTTGGATCAGCTTGGCTTTGGCCATTGTGGCCATTTGAGGAGTGAACAAGTAGATGGAAGATCTTTGTCTCTGACTCTCCTCTCTGTAACTCTGACTTTCCAATAAAAATGAATGGATCTAGGGCCCGGCATGGTGGCCTAGCAGCTAAAGTCCTTACCTTGAATGCACCAAGATCCCATATGGGCACCAGTTCTAATCCTGGTGGCTCCACTTCCTGTTCAGCTCCCTGCTTGTGGCCTCGGAAAGCATCCAGGACGGCCCAAAGCCTTGGGACCCGGCACCCGCGTGGGAGATCCAGAAGAAGCTCCTGGCTCCTGGCTTTGGATCAGCGCAGCACTGGCCGTTGTGCTCACTTGGGGAGTGAATCAGTGGACAGATCTTCCTCTCTGTCTCTCCTCTCTCTCTCTGTATATCTGACTTTGCAATAAAAATAAAATAAATCTTTTTTCAAAAAAAATTAATAGAGCTTAAAAATATGCTTAACAGAGGTGGGCTTTGTGGCTTCCACAAAGTGGAAGTGGTTAAGTTTCCACTTAGAATCCTGGCATCCCATTGCTGAGCACTGGCTCAAATCCCAGCTATTGTGCTTCCAATCCAGCTTCCTGCTAATGCACCTGGGAAGGCAATGGATGATCACCCAAGTACTTGGGCTGCTGCTACTCAGGTGGAAAGCCTGGAAAGAATTCCTGGCTCCTGGGTTAGCGTGGCCGGTCCCTGGCTGCTGCAGCATTTTGGGGAGTGAGCCAGCAGATAAAAGATTTCTCTTTCTTTATCTCTGTCTCTCTCTCCTATCTCTCCTCCCATCTCCCAAAGAAGGGCTGGATGAGCTGTTCACAAGTAGGAAACAGATGAGCAATAGGCAGATCCAAACACAAGTTTTGTCTTCTTCCTTTTAAAAAAAAATGTTTATTTATTTTTGTTGAAAAGGCAGATTTACAGAGAGAAGAAAAAACAGAGAGAAAAATCTCCCATCCATTGATTCACTCCCCAAGTAGCCACAATGGCCAGAGGTAAGCCAATCCAAAGCCAAGAACCAGGAGCCTTTTCAAGGTCTCTCTACATGGGTTCAGGGTCCCAAGGCTTTGGCCCATCCTCTACTGCTTTCCCAAACCACAAACAAGGAACCGGAAGGGAAATGGAGCAGCTGGGACACGAACCAGCACCCATGTAGGATCCCAGCTGACGCAAGGCAAGGATGAGCCACTAGGCTATTGCTCTGGGCCCAAATTTTGTCAACTTTCAACACAACTTTCTCACTGTTTTCAAAATTCACCCTGGGAGTAACATGGTATCATTTGATTCTCCAAATGTCAATAACTTGATAATCTATCTTTACGATTGTGAATATATGATTGGAATTTGCATTTGGGTAGATTATGTCTCTCGTGTTCCAAAGGTTTACTTATTTTTATCAAATAATACAGCACAGCACCTCAAAGATATGAGAGACTGACTGATTCTTGGCAGAAATCGATAACTCATCTCTCAGTGACAGCTAAGAGAGCCTCTCCTATATCTTTCAAACATCCACAAGAAATAATGATTGGGTGTTACACTGTCAAGAACTTTCCAGTTGTAAACAAACAAAAAAAGCAACAACAACAAAAAATTCAGTCAATTATCAGCAAAGTGTCTTCTGTATTCGTAGACCAAAAGTGGTTCAAGGTTGGTTTTCTAGACTCTGCTCCATTTCTCACAAAATAATGAAAGCAATGAAGCCACCATTGCATTAGCCAACTTAGACTAGAAACATTAACTGGCAAAAAATTCATTTGAAGAGAAGCATGTGGATTCTGGAATATTTCTGTGAATATACAAGCTTTAGGAATCAACCTGTACTGCATGTTTTCTGGTTTTTTTGCCTCATTAGTGATTGGGATGACAACCTTGACCCTCTAATTTTAGTACAACGATTCCCAAACAACATTGTTTCAGTTAATGTGGACCTTAACTTTGGAGTTCTAGAGAAATATGCAGAATAAGGTTATGAGCTAATGAGCATTGTAATAAAAATGGAGGCTCACATGATATATTGATACCCAACTATTGCTATTAAAATGTAGTAAATCTGTGGTGCCCAGACAGGACAGGAAATGGAGAATGGTAAAGCAAATGCTTAGCTTTTCTGTCTGGCTTACCCCTCATATTGCCTTCCATTTAATAATCACACATTACAGATTTCCTAGAACGATCCAAGTTTAACTGTTTTGACTCCATTATTTTCAGAATTGCATTTATAGGATCGAACGGTCCAATATTTGGTTTGGAAAATGTAGTCAAAATAATCCTTTCCGGTCTGAGAAAAGTAGTCAGTCCAAACCAGGGGCAAGAAATGAGCCTAGGAGGATCTGTGTCTACGCCCCCGGAGCTGGCTGTCAACACATCATTCCTCATTAAACCACTGCTATCCCAGCCAAGAGCCTCTTAGAAAGCCAAACCTTCAGATCCTTGTTTCACAGAAAGATGTTACTTTCTGTAGGAAAAGAAACTCACATTACATAATCCGCTAAATTCAATGTAGCTTCTCAAAAATATTTGTTATTATAAGCAAGAACATGGCAGAAATTGCTATTACCTTGGCAGATAATACCAGAATTCTTTGGAGTATTAAGGCTCCTTTAAAAAAAAAAAAAGAGGGAGACCGCCCTGCTGAAGGGTTTGGAGAACAGGAACAAGCCACTAATACAGGGTGAAATATTGTCCCTGGAAAAGGACCCAATGCTCTCTCTTGGTCTGATATGGGCAGGGGGATGCACATCGGTGCCCTCTTCCCACATCACAAAATTCTCTAAGCTGATGCGAAGGCCCTGGGAAAAAAGTCCTGGGCTCATGCCCTCTGGACAGAAGTTAGAGGACTTTTGTTGTAGAGAACCAGTCAGCTGTAAAAAGAAACTCTGGGAGGTGGCAGAAGCCCCATCCAGGCTTTCACAGATCAGCTTTGCCCCAGCCTCCTCCCCTCAGTGCCCAACCCAGCTCTCCCATTCTCTCCCTCCTATTGTTCCCCAAACATCCCTCCCTTCATGAAAGCTGTCTGGCTGGGAGCTTAAAATATTGCTGGACAGTAAAACCTACCCATCAGGGCCAATCCAGTCATATCTGCTCAGTCGTGCAGCACGTTAGGGGCGGGGTAGAGAAGTGGGAGGTGGGCTTTTAGGTGGCAAAGGAAAGAGGCCAAAGTTGCCATTTTGCTGCTGAACGCCAAGAGAGAAAGACAGCACGTAGTTCTCCGCGGGACCCAACTCATATTGGCAAGTTTTGCTTGGGTGATACTAGTTAGAAGCTCCTCCCCAGCCCATCCTCCTGCTTCTTTCACAACCTAATCTACAAATCATAAACAGGCTGCTCCAAAGGAGTGCCATTAAGATTCAGGCCGGGGGTTGGGATGGCTGGACGTTAAGAGTCCAACTCTAGAACCCCCTTGGAGTCAACCAAAGGATTGGGAGAGATTTGGAAGGGAAATACTGGAGTACTTGGACAAATGAAGAGAGAGAAAAGGTTAAATCCTAACCACAACTTGACTTGCTAAAGTCTTTTCACTTTGTAGAATGAATTAACATGCCTCCAGGAATCCAGAAGGACCTAAACCAAGTATTCAATTTGAGTTTTGCACTTTTCTCACTCAACTTAGCTATAAGAGTAATTGTCATAATTATTGGGTTCTGTGGGTATTGGTGAAGCTTCAGGCTCAGTGTTGTTTAGTTTTTGCTTTGTTTTGACAGTAGATCATTTAACAGAACACAGAAACAAATTCACTTAAGGACCCTTCCTGGAAAAGGTTCTGCTGTCTGCCGGAAGTGCTGCTGGTTTAGTGGCTGCTCCAGAAATAAGATGGGAAGCACACAGTTACCACCACATTACTAACTGGGGTGGCAAGTGGCCTCTAATGCTTCGGGAGGATTTAACATCAATGTGTGTTGTTGTTCTGTTGCTCTGCCATCCTCAAAACTGGGGGAAGGCAGTGCTACACCGGGCTCGAAGCTGGAGGACTGGTGTTCCTATCCCAGGTCAGCCCTCCTTAGCTGCGCTGCTCCGGGAAACGCATTTAGCCTTCCAGCCTGTCTCCCTCTTTGGGGCTAGGATTGGATAATGCCAGAGATCAACTGGGAACTGGGTCTCAAACATCCACCCGAGGATCTGTCAGTTCTAACACAAGATAAGGTTTTCAGGGGCCTGTGACAAAAGTGTGACAATAATATTGTAAACAGTGTACATTTTGTACTACATTTTCTACTAAATCCGATGTGTTCAATTAAAGGCATGTCTTTCATTCTGAAATAATGCCCTTCCCAGTTTTATGTTACTAAAATCCTATTTTGCAATATGATGGTGAAAACAGGCAAACGTCATTATTGATTATTTTGTAAAGGTCTTGTTTTAATGTCCTTGTTTGGCAAAATAAGGAACTGGCATTCTTATGTTGGGCACCCTATTTTGTTGTTATAGTACTCTGTGAAATCCAAGTTTGAGAACCATTGGCCAAGTTCAAAGCTTGTTCAAGGAATGAGATAAGCTAGATGAACATGCATCACTTAAAAACAGAAATGGGTACCCAAAATTAATCTCTAAACATCAAACAAACCTCTAAATATCATTCTCTGCTCGAGTATTCCTGCGAATACATGGATGCTCTGGTGTTGGGAGTTTGAGCCTCCATAGTTATATCTTCCATCTGTAATAAGTCTATCCACTAAATTTTCACAAACATAATAATAAGGAGACATATTATGCTGAAGGAAATTAGAGAACTATTCTTCCTTCAGTTCATATCTCTCTCTCTCTGCTTCATTGGAATGTCTACTACCCTGATATGACTTTAAATTTTCATTATCAGAAGGCAAGGATCCAAGGCACTTTCCCTTAGTAACTGCAAAGCTTGTCACCACAATAGCAGGCTTGGTCCGCTTCAATATGGTGGGACTGGAAAGATCTTGCACCAAATTATAGGTTATTTTCCTTCAATCACCACAAGACACTTGGAAGCGGACATTAAAAAAACTAAAAGTCAAGCAATCCTAGCATCACAGGATGGGGTATAGAAAGACACAGCCCTGGCTGGCCCTGATCTGGAAATTTCTAACAGTGTGGTCAGGAGTATCTGTGTCATAAACGTGTATCATGACACGGAAATGGCAAGAGTTACTGCTCTTCCAGTTTATATTTTCAGTCTTAAAAAATTGGCAGGTGTGTTATTCTTTTTCCTCAAAACAGCTGGTTTTTGATAAATCACCTATCCTTTTGTGCTATTTAGTGTTTTCTTGTATTTTCTTTGCCAATTCTTACTCTCTTTATTGCTGCTATAGAAAAAAAAAAAAAAAAGACTAGAGTTACCTGGACTCTAAGGAACACAGACCCTGCATGCACTCAGAGGAGATTTCAAAATGATTATGGCTGGACACATCCATTGATGTTCACGGAACTCCGTCCGGGTCCCTAGGGGCTTTGTTCTGTGCTGTGATGGCTCCCAGTGGACCAAGTCAAATTGGTCCCTGTCCTCCCTGAGCTTTTGATCCTACAGGGGGAAAAACCAGACTGAGTGACATATAGTTCTAAGAGCTTCTTTGTGATCACATGAGTAAAGTACAAAATCAAAAGGACTAATAGGGCACAGCTGAAGAAAGGCCATACTTCAAAAAGTTAATGGAAGATCCATGTGCTGAAGCAATTACAGGTAGACCTCAAACTTTTTGCGCGTAAATAACTGTATCCTTTAATCCAAACTTCTGCATCAACACAGCAAGATACTAACAAGATAATGTCAGATATTATTCATGAACTTAGTAAGTTGTCAGATTTAGAGCACATTAAAGCTAGGTTCAATCTTATAAGAATTATATTAATTACTGTTTTAATCAATTTTAGATTGAACTATTTTGATAAGAAACAGACTTTTCGCCCTGGCTGCAGCCGTTGTGTTTCATGTGTGGGCTGCTTACCTGACTGTGATATTTCCCATCTATTTTCTAGAAGGAAGCAGAAGTAGCTGCCACTGTTTACAGGGCAAGCACTAGATAAAATCTGTAACTTGAGGAGATTGTAAATCAGATTTATGTAGCTGAGATTACGAGCTGCTGCTTCTAAACAGAGGACTCCCTCCCACTCTCAAACCCCCATAGCTTCATGAGTCTGTTCCCAATACCAGGCTCATGGCTGAGAGTACCACGGCTGCTCTTAACTTCCCAGAATGAGAGAAGCAGCTAGAAAACACTCTCCCTAATTGAGAATTTCAGGGGTTCCAGGAGCAAGAACACCATCTGCTCTTCAACAAAATGCAGATGGCTGATATGCATAGTTATGTATAGATTAAGGCCCCATGCTGTAGCCGCAACCTTCCCACAGGGGCTCCAAATCTCAGGTTGGGTGGAGGCTTTGAACTCTCAATTTGAACTCTCATTTTGAACTCTCATTTTGATTGCCCTCCATTTTTATCACTCTTTAAAGTTCTTAACAAATAACCCTGTTATTATAAACAGTGGAAAAGGATTGGGCATTTAGTTTGAGGGTAAAGTACCTGGTATTAATACTCAGCTCCAATTTCTCACTCCAGTTTCTAGTTACTGCAAACCCTAGGAAACAGCAGGGGATGGCTTGAGTAACTGGGTCCCTGCTACCCACACAGGGGACCTGGATTGCATTGCCGGACCTGGACCTGGCTTCAGCCTGATGGCTTATTATAGGCATCTGAGGAGTAAACCAATCCAGGGGAGCACTCTCTCTCCAACTCTGTCTCACCAAAAAATAAAATAATAATGCTTAAAGCTGTATTAAAAGCACTAGATATATTACTTGAGTTGCATGTGGTCCTGAATCTACAGAAGTAGGGTAGTAGGGGGAATGGCTGGAAGAAGCTTGGAGCAGGTTCCTTAACAGGCTCTTGCCTGTGTTGAGTAAGCCATGTGTAAACTGCACAATTCTAGAGATATTGCAGCTGAAGAGACCAGTCCTAGGATAAAATGGGAGTTTTGATCCTGGTCTTTCACAGGCTACAGGTTTGCACTAGATGAGTGACCCAGTTTGCACAGAGCTCCCTGTCAGTTCAATGCCACTTCCATTAGCCGCTGCTGTGCTGCGGGCATTATATACTATCATGTTTAATGGTCTTCTTTTGCTACAGGCCAACAGAGCTAAAGAGCTCTATTAAAACAGCCACACCATAGACCTTGACAGCTTTCCTGTCGGGCACTAAATGTGTCCTCGTGAACCTTCCTTGTCCTGTAACATGATTCTTAAGTCCTCTCTAGCTTCTTCAGATTTAAAAGAACAATAATAAAAACATACTGCACTCCATGTATAACGCTATTAGGAAGGGTTTCCAGATTTCAACTTAGAGAAACAAATACATAAATTCAGAGCACAGAAGTCAGAGGATTACATAGCTCTGATTGCAGGCAGTTTATCTCGGTGGTATAGTGGAAAGAACGGCTTTGAACATCTGGCAGACAGAACTGCTGCTAATTAGCTCTCCGGTCTTAGGCCAGTTTGGCCTCTCTGAGCCTCAGTTTTATTAGCTTCTGTTGGAATCAAGTTACATTTAGCTCACACTACGGAGTAGATATTGAGTATACAACTGTCAACAAGATGGGTGTGGTCCCTCCTCTCACGGTGATGACAGTTTAGAAGGATCAAATTAAATGAAATACACGTCAAAGGTCTGTCCCAAGGTAGATGGTGGGTGAGAATTGGCTCTTTCCCACTCACCTTTAAAACAGATGATGCTGACATATCCCACCATAACAAAAAGAAGGTATCACAATCATAGACATGCACACATTGTGTTGGAAGCCCAGACACCCACGAAACAAGGAATTTTTTCACTAGTGTGTCTTATAAGAATTACCTCAGTTTACACTCTGAATTTAAATCTACGTAACCATGGATTTTTATTTATAATCAACCATGCGTTCCTATTTTTGGTGGAGTTCAAGGAATCACACAGATGTGGCCTCTTGTGTCCTTTCTGACCTTTCGTGAAGTGAATGAGAACAGGTAATACTATTAAATCCGTTTTGCCCATGAATAAGCTAATGGAAGCAGTTTCTTTCAGGCCTCTTTTGTCCCTACACGGCCTACAAAGAGGATGCACTCAATAGATGCTGTTTACACGCGGGCTGTTTCAGCAGTGCTGAAAGGAGTATCCCAGGAGTTAGCAAAAAGAGACTGACCCGGGTTGCACTGGGGCGGCTGAGCTTTTGCCTTCTTCCTCCTCCAGGTAGCTGCGAGATGGGTGATTGGAGTTTCCTGGGGAACATCTTGGAGGAGGTGAATGAGCACTCCACGGTCATCGGCAGGGTCTGGCTCACTGTGCTCTTCATCTTCCGGATCCTGATTCTGGGCACAGCGGCGGAGTTCGTGTGGGGGGATGAGCAGTCCGACTTCGTGTGCAACACCCAGCAACCCGGCTGTGAGAACGTCTGTTACGATGAGGCCTTCCCCATCTCCCACATCCGCCTGTGGGTCCTGCAGATCATCTTCGTCTCCACTCCATCCCTCATGTACGTGGGACACGCGGTGCACCACGTGCGCATGGAGGAGAAGCGCAAGGACCGCGAGGCGGAGGAGCAGTCTCGGGGTGACGGGAGCGAGAGGGTGCCCGTGAGCCCCGACCAGGCGAGCATCAGGAAGAGCAGCAGCAGCAGCAAAGGCACCAAGAAGTTCCGGCTGGAGGGGACCCTGCTGAGGACCTACGTCTGCCACATCATCTTCAAGACCCTCTTTGAGGTAGGTTTCATCGTGGGCCACTACTTCCTGTACGGTTTCCGCATCCTGCCCCTCTACCGCTGCAGCCGCTGGCCCTGCCCCAACGTGGTGGACTGTTTCGTGTCCAGGCCCACTGAGAAAACCATCTTCATCTTGTTCATGCTGTCTGTGGCCTTTGTGTCCCTCTTCCTCAACATTATGGAGATGAGCCACCTGGGCCTCAAGGGTATCCGGTCTGCCTTCAAGAGGCCCGTGGAGCAGCCACTGGGGGAGATCCCTGAGAAATCCCTTCACTCCATTGCCGTCTCCTCCATCCAGAAAGCCAAGGGCTACCAGCTCCTCGAAGAAGAGAAAATCGTATCCCACTATTTCCCTTTGACTGAGGTTGGGATGGTGGAGACAAGCCCTCTTTCAGCCAAGCCCTTCGGACAGTTCGAGGAAAAGATTGGCAGCGGATCCTTAGCTGAGATGCCCCGGGGTTACCAAGAGACATTGCCCTCCTACGCTCAGGTGGGAGTGCCTGAGGTGGAGGGGGAGGAGCCGCCGGTAGAGGAAGCTGCAGAACCAGAAGTGGGAGAGAAGAAGCCAGAAGCAGAGAAGGTGACCCCGGAGGTGCCTGAGACACTGCAAGTGCAGGAGGGAGAGAAGGTGGAGATCCCTGGAGTGGGGACGGAGGGAGAAAAAGAAGAGCTGCAGGCCGAGAAGGTTTCCAAGCCAGGGCTGCCGGCTGAGAAGACGCCATCGCTGTGTCCGGAGCTGACCACCGATGATATCAGACCCCTGAGCAGGCTGAGCAAAGCCAGCAGCCGGGCCAGGTCAGACGATCTAACCATATGAAGTGGCGCCCAAGGAAGACAGCTTCCAGCCAACACGGGGCAAGGTGAAATGCAAAGGTATCAACATGGTTTGAGTTCACCGCCTCCTCCCCTCCCCCTCATCCCTAGTTGGACAAATGGTGGCCTTGGCACAGTGCCTGCTGGACAACTAAGAAACAGCATCTCCAGCTGACTCCCTTCCCCCGCCAACGGCTACCTGGATAAACCTGCTGTCCTCTCAGAGTTCCCAGCCTCGTATGACTGCCCTGTTCCAATACCCCAACTATGGAATATTTCTTTTGTCTCATTTCTCTATAGAAACCCATCAGAGTTGGGGTTGCCCCACAGCCCTTTACCAGTGTTAATCTCACTAACTCAGCCAGATTCTAATACCATAACACTTCACTAATTGATACTCTATGACTGTTTCTGAAGGGTTTCAAACTGAAAAGCGCCCCCTCCCCCCCAGGACCCAGGCAAGCTATTTATATGGGCAAAATGGGGCTACAACGGAGAGAAGTAGGGGGCTGTGCCTGCCGCTCAATGCCAGGCAGTGACTGCCACATGATATTACCTGATATCTGATTTAATTTTTTTTTTTTTGAAAGAAGCCAGAAATCCAACTTTGAATTGAAACTGCAGAAGTGTGAATGTCCACAGTCAAACTTTAAATCCAACACTGGGCCGAATGAAATGTGTGCCAGTCAAAGTTAACCCGTCTGGCACCAATTTTGATGTCTGCTTGCACTGATGGGACAGTCAGCTTTCCTGTGGAGTGGGCATTACTCTTTACTGTCACCATTTGTTTTCTGTGGCTTCTAAACCTCATTTCACCACCTTGGGGTGTTTAAGTCATCAACTCAGAAGATACCCAGAATTTTCATTGACCATGCTTTTGGGTCAGTGAACCCCTAGGCGCTGAAGCAGCAATACCTTTTCATTTTGGTAGGCATTCTGCCCCGGGCAGCATCAGAAAAAGACATCAAGAGGCCAGAAGGTCTCCTTGTGAGATAACGAGGCCTTAAGGCATCGTCACAGTTTTATTCCCTGAAACAAACAAACAAACAAGAAAAAGGCCCTTCGCTTTATTCTCCTTAGCCAACATTAGTGTTCAGCCTAAAACCAATATACCTCGTTTCACTGAAGGCTGCAAGAGCAAGCCAAGTTTTAAGCTGAGAATACCTGCTCACAGGCCTTTCCCTGAAGACCTAGTGCTCCAGCCAGAAGAATCATCAGAGTGACAGCAGAGGAGCCTCTTGCTGAGCAGGTCTCCAAATAGCCAGGGTCCCAAAGATCAGTCCAGGCCAAGCTTCCTCCCTGGAAAGGACATGGCTGCCAAAGGGAACAGGAGCAGTCTCAGAGGTCTGTGCTCCTGGAACCACCACAACCAACCCACCTCAAACACGCAGTCCGGTCAGGGAAAATCCTCAAGGGCAAGTATGTATTTCACACCAGCAGCAATCTCACCCAGTCAATCAGTTTCCGGAGAAGAGACAGAACGCAATAACTAAGCCAGCTGAGTTAAACCAAGGCTATTTCGCAGGCTGAAGTGCCAAAGGCAGGGTAAGGGGTCTAGGAACCAAGTTGCTACGTCAGGAATCTGCACAGCCTGTTACCAGGAGACTCAAAAGAAGTATCCAGAAAAAAAAATGCCTTTATTCTGTCTCCCCCCACCACCTCCACCAAGCACCATCTCAAAATATGCAAAGCGCTTTGGTTGCTGTCTGGTTTCCACCCTCTTTTTAAGATAGCCATTCAGGGCCCGGCGCAATAGCGAAGCAGTTAAGGTTCTCACCTTGAATGCACCAGGATCCCATATGGGTGCTGGTTTTAATCCCAGTGGCCCCACTTCCCATCCAGCTCCCTACCTGTGGCTTGGGAAAGCAATCGAGGATGGCCCAAAGCCTTGAGACCCTGCATCTGTGTGGGAGACCCAGAAGAGGCTCCTGGTTTCAGATTGGCTCAGCACCAGGCATTGATGCCGCTTGGGGAGTGAACCATCGGACAGATGATCTTCCTCTCTGTCTCTCCTCTCTGTATATCTGCCTTTCCAATAAAATATTAAAAAAAAAAAGAGAGAGAGAGAGCCATTCAAGATAAGTCTTTTCAGAGCAAGCCTTCTCCAAAGCTGTGACCATATTCCCATTCTTTGGTGCCTTATTCTAGGGCAAAGTGCTCTAAAAATTAAACTCATGCTAAAGTGTGATTGATATTTACTCTTGTGGAAACTAGTATTTAGCAAGGAACGCCTAACATAGATGAGAATATGTCCAAACATTCATGGAAAATGGAATTTAATGAAGTTTTGGTGCAAAAAAAAAAAATGGAAATCAGTATGGGTTTTTTTTTTTCATAATACACATTTTCCATGAGCTTTATAAAGACTCTTCATATTTTACTTATGTAATGCAAAGTAACAAATTTTCAGTGTATCAGGCAAAGGCAAGTTGAGCAGAGGAAAAATTTATCATGTACAATGTGATTTTCTGGATACTGCTTGAATCTAACCCTTCATAGGCAACACCATCCCACATACTTTTACCCTGTATGGTAAAACAAACAAGATCCTAGGCCTGAAAACCAGAGACTGCATCTGTGACCCCTCAATGGCTGAACTATTACTCCTATGGTTGTACATTGATGACACCTTTTAGAAAAATATTAGTAATTATTTGGTCATTAAAATAATAAAGTGTCTATTTCAACCAGGACTCAAAGAAAAAAAAAAAGGAAAAAGCATCCTTATCCCTAAGTGAGACCTCTAGGGCTTGGGAACCAATTATAAAGCTATAGGTAAGGCCTTCTGGCTTCCTTGTATTGGCTGGGACACAGGTGTGGCAGTGCCTTCCTTTGAATAAAGCAGCATCCTGCTTCTATTTCTGTACCACTCAGCCTGCACAGAAGTTGGCATTTTTTTTCTTTTAGTCTTCCCAACTAGAAGAATGAGCCTATTTTGGAAGGAACAGATTCAGGCATCAAGGAACCAGGATTTTCTATTTCTGCCATTTCGTATATGTGTTATTGTCCCTTAAGCTCTCTGTACCTCAGTTTTCTGTCTACAAACCAGATAGCGTTTACCACCTACTTCCTCCAGAGGTATCAGAAAGATCAGCAAGTTGGCTGCCAGGCCTATAACCTGCCAAGTAGGAGTACCATTTCCTGATAGAGTCATCCAACGGCAGTGAGAGTTGGAAGAAGGACAACTGGTGGTGTCCATCGACCCACCCTACTTGCTTTCAGTTATCTGATGAGAATGTTTCCATGTGGAGTAAGCAGTCTAAAAATCAGCTTCCTCAGAGCAGAATCAAAACAGGATCTTAACCCATACATTTGGTAGGAGCCTGAGGTTCTGTGCCCAGATTGTAATTGCTTCTATATTCTGAAATAAGGTGCTCCTTCTATATTCTGAAATAAGGTGCTTCTTCTATATTCTGTATAAGGTGCTCCTTCTTGAGCAGCCACACGGGTTCCCTTCAGGGACAGCTTTATGTCGGGGATGTGGCCATGAATCTGTGACGTTGCACCCCTCAGCTGTTTAGCCAAGTAATTATGACTAATTCTGGATTGTAATCCTGCCCTGCCAGGGTGCAATGAGGTACATCTTGAGTTCCTTACTCTTAGGATGTCCCTTAAAGTCTTAGAGCAATTAGACCTCCCAATAAAAGCACATGGGACAGCATTACATCAGAAGTGCAGCTTCCCCAAAGAGACAAAGGGCTCCTCACTTCATGGCAATTACAACACCTATGTCAGAGATGTGTGATCAAGAGGGGCAGAGTCACACAAAATTCAGTTAGAAAGTATTCAACCTGGCCATGTAATCCCTGGCCTAGCTTTTGGAGCACATGCTTTCACCATGACTTCCTCCGTCGACACAATGCTGAAATATCTAGCATTGCTTAAAGTCTGTATGACCTAGAGACCCACAAAGAGCACCAACATTCAAGCCAGGAGTGAGGGCTGCCACTCCCTCACCCTGGGGAGGCCCAGATGCCACCTACCTGCTCTTTATGACAACTTTCTTTAGGTTAATTGGGGATAAGTTCTTGTTCACAGAATGGTATTGCTGTTTTTTTTAAAACAAACAAAAAAATTCACTAATTTGAAAATGAAAGGAAAGATGGGGCTTCATCCAACTGTGTAAGTCTATATTCTGAAGCCATTACAGCCATCACTTTCAAATCCTGCAGAGATCATGAAACTAAGATAATGATGAAAAGTGAGCCAAAAAGCAAAGCGCATGTGTGGAGAAGCACCAGTTCCTGAGACAGCCTCTGATACTTGGCGGAAAGACATCATGAACTGAAAGACCCTCCTGCAAGAACTCTTTGGTCCACACCATGTACAACGCCTGGGGCAAAACTCATGCAGACTGCTACTCCTGTCCTATTCTTGAAGAGGGTCCCCAATCATGCCTGCATAAGAAGAAACCCCACCTTCCCCATTTCCCATCCCACACCCTCAACCTTCTCATCTCTCCTTCCCTTGTCCATTAGTTACCTTCTTTGCATATCACATGCAAATGAAACACAGCCTAAGTTAACAAAGTTAAGATGAAAAATATTTGCCTGATTGGACAGAAATCTTTTCAAAATGTAAATACAATCTGCAAAACCTAGTGTGTGTTTAGTAGTGATAGTGAGATAGGCAGGGAGACAGAGAACGAAGAATAATGAAATGAAATTCTAGGTTCACAAGTTGGATAAGAAGACTCACTCCCCACTGTCCTAGACGGTGCAACTCTGAAGTCCAGGGAGAAGGTAGCAAGCAGTTCAGACAGCAGCCACCAAGTCCTTGGGAGACAACAGTCCCAGAACCACTGCTTTCTACAAGTTCTTCAGGGAAGACAAAGAGAACTCTTTAATTGCCTGGAAGGAAAAGTGGCTGGTTTCATTGCCTTTTGATGCAGGTCTCTTCCTTCTGTGAAATAAGACAGCAAAGACTCAGCTAACAAGCACATCCATACCAAATTTTCTGTGGCAAAAGAGAGAGGCATTCTTGGGAAGGTGGTCCTCTGTTCTCCAGTCCTCCACA